ACCGGACGGCTTTGTGCTTGCCACCGCAGCAACCACAGCGCTCACCGCAGGAGTAGCAGGCGTGGAGGGGTAGGTAGCAGCACATGCACGGGACCACCAAGGAGAGGGTGGCCAGAGCCAGCCAGCGGATGCAGAAGTACGGGTGGCCGGTGTCGCAAGAACAAGGGTCCGAGTATTCCCCTTCTGAGTCCGACATGCAATGGTACAGCATGCTCTCGGCGCACCACATACAAGTGAACTGGTAGACGCAGTGGCCGATGGGGTCCGGCGCATCTTGGCACTGTCCCCGCCCGTTCTCCTCATTGTTAAAGACGTCCCGGCAGTAGACGCACCGCGAGGGCACCATGTCCTCTTCCACGCCCATGATAACTCCAGAGGGCGGTTGCGGTGACTGCTGCTGCTCCTTCAGCGGCTTATGTTTCATGGGGGAGGAGGCCCCATGGATCCGGCAGGAGGGTGAGGCCTTGGGGTCCTTGAGCCGCCCTTCGGCTCCAGGGGGGAAGCTGTACTCCTTCTCCCTGGGGGATTGGCTGCCCCTGCCTCCCTTCTCAAAGTGTACGCACAGGTCGATCTTGTCCGGGTCTGGCTGGTGCTTCTGAACCACAGCCCGCCGGTAGTCCTCGTAGCCTTTGGTGACCCAAGGGCAAGGGGTGATGCTCTCCAGCTCCTCCTCCTCTGGGAGAGTCAGCTGCTGCAAGGGCTCGGCTTGCACCTGGAGGGGTGGAGAAGAAGAAGATGGAAATCATGTTCTGGGGATTCAACCACGGGAGGAGGAGGAGAAGGTCAAAGACGAGGCGAGGACGAGGGGAGGAGAGGAGAGGGCAGGAAAGGGGGGAGGAAACAGGAAGAGGAGAAGGAGAAGGAGAGGGAGAATGGAGGAGAAGGAGAGGAGAAGGAGAAGATGATCCTAACTACGCACTGGTCCAGCTGAGGTTGCCCCTTGTGTTGAACTGAAGGGGAACTCTTCAGAAAGAGGGGTGCGAATGAAGCAGGTGGAGGAGGACTCGCTGGTCACAATGGTGATGGGTTTGGGGAGCATCTCCTTCTGGCTGTTTGAGGAAGACTCGCTGTCCGTGCGCGCCTAGAGAAAGAGGACACAAGGCAGAGGTTATGCTGAGTCCAAGAGCAGGTCCTCAAGGCTTTTCATTCAGTTGCCCCTAGCACAAAGTAGACCTGAGCCCAAATGAGGAACCCAATGTTACAGGTGGTCCTCCACATATGACTATAATGGAGCCTGTCCATCAAGTGAATGCCGTTTTGCCAAAACGGTCAGATGATGCTACAAGTGGCAGGAAATGCCGCTAGGCTGCTGAATGTCCGAAAGAGGGCCCGACCACTGGAAATTTGAATCCAAGTCATAACTGCCCCTTTTTCAGGTTGGTTGTAACCAAGCGACTCATTTATTTATTTATTTATTTATATTTAAATTTATATGCCGCCCTTCTCCCCATGGGACTCAGGGCGGCTCACAGCATATTAAAACATTGTACAAAAAGAAATTTTCCCCTGCTAAAAACCAATTAAAATCCAAATATTAGTAGCTGTGGCTCTTTAAAATTGTTTAAAAATTGTCCCTATTTAAAACTCACCTTAGGT